ATTTTAATTTCGTGGATAACTGAGGGACCATATATGAGATTTTCCCTTTAAAATATAAGAGCTTTATGCATATTTTTATAGCTACAAGTGCACATTAGATTTTGCCAAGTGTATAGTATTGCAAATTACTAGAAACTAAGAAGTACATTCCTAACTTATACTTAAGTGCACTTTAATTGATGCTCTTGTACAAATCTACATTTGTTCTTTTAACAAAATACAATGCACTTTTTTCACTTCTATGGTTCATCCTCAGCATGTCGACCATCTGCATAAAAAAAATATTATACACATAAAATAGTTTGCACAATAATTTGAATAATACTCCACGACTAATCGAATAGAGGTGCACTATGTTGAATCAAACCTCATGAATAATAATATACGTAGTAATATATAGTTAAAAATAGGGAAAAATGTATAGTTACAGAATCACATAGATTCAGAATGACACTACTATGCACTTATTAGCCCAAATTAGTGCAGTCATATGTGAGTTAAATAGCCTTGTCACATTCAATTATAAGCATAGAAAAGTTGCAAATCAAATGCAACTATGTGACTGTTAATGTTAAGTTTTTGTGTGTGGTGCATATTGAATCAAATGATAGTGCATTGAACAATACGTGCCAATGCACTTTGTGTGAGTTAATTGACAGTATTAGAACACACTAACGAACACACAAAAAAGATCACAAGATCGATAAAAAAATAAAACCGTAAATGTATGAGTATGAATTGCAGCAACAACCTACTGATAATCAGTAGATCCATGATAATAGCAATATAGATGCTAACTAGATAAATTTTACAAACAAAATTAAGAAATAATACAAACTAAATCGACTTACTAGGATCAATACGGAGAAGATGATCTTGTTGAAAAATTTATGCTGCTCCATGATAATTGCAGAACATGATTAATGTGAAGAAACGAATTATATGAAAGAAAGATGATGGTGAGACGCTAGCTAGATAGATGAGATGATGATGAAGACCAAACAATTGAAAAAATGGAAAGAGTCGTGAATGGGAAAGGAAATTAACGGAGAAAATATTATCCCTTCCTAAATGATAGAGAAACAGTTATGAGAAGAAGAGGAGTTTGAATTGGAAAGAAACGTGAATTACCATTGTGTCCTCAAACGAATTATTCATTTAATCTAAATTGTGATGCAATCCAATGGTTGAAGATCATTCTTATTTCTCTCCTAAGATGACTTTCTCATTTGAACCTAAATCTATATATATATATATATATATATATATATATATATATATATATATATATATATATATATATATATCACTACAAAAAAAACACGCCTTTAGTCACGGATGTTAGTCACGGATTTCGTCCGTGACTAGCCTAGTCACGGGCTAGTCACGGACTAGTCACGGATTTTTGAAAAAAAAAATTAGTCACGGATTTGGCCGTGACTAAGTCCGTGACTACATAAATCCGTGACTACGAACCGTGACTAAAGTCTTCCGGTTGCCCCAACTCCGTCGCCGGTAAGTCCGTTTTTATTCCGGCGCCTTAGTCACGGACTTATCCGTGACTAGGTCCGTGACTAAAAAAAATTAAATTTCCAGCGCTCAAAATTAATTTCTCAAAATTTAGTCACGGAAAATTCCGTGACTAGGTTTTTTATATAACTGAACCACACCAATTCATTCCATGTATATATAATACAGTATCTGTTTGAAAGATCGAAGGATGTAGTCCATCTTATGTCATTTTCCCTGTTTATGCAGATAATAAGGTATGTTATTTGAATTCTTTTTATTTAGAATTAGTTGATTCAATTTAAAATTGGTTAGCTAAGCGTAGTTTTAAATGTAGTGATGCATTAAGTTAAATTAAGTAAAATTAGTTAGCTAAACGTAGGTTTTAAATAATTAAGTTAAATTAATTAGTTAAGTTAGTGTAGCTTTTGATAATATTAGTTAAATTTAAATACTAGTTAATTGTAATGTGTAGAAAAAAGGTTGGTAATTAATTAACGAATTGAATTAGTTAAAATTAGTTAAACGTAGGATTAATTTAAATGTAGTGTTAAATTACTCAATTTTTTAATAATATTAGTTAAATTTAAGTATTAGTTAATTCAAATGGGTGTATATATATATATATATATATATATATATATATATATATATATATGTATGTATGTATGTATATATATATATATATATATGTATGTATATATATAGATATATATATATATATATGTATATATATATATATGTATATATATATATATAGAGTACTCTTCCGGTCAGGTATACCTGACCAGAGTCCCGTCCGGCCTCCTCCATTTGGGGGCCTTCTCGGTGGTATTTTTTACTCAATTTTTTGTGTAAGTTCCTCATCAAGTCTAGTTCATCCATACCAAATTTCAGCCAAAAATTCAATCGGGAAGGTTGTCAAATGATTTTTGCAAGTTAACTGGTCCGGAATATGTATATTCCGGATGAACTAGACTTGATGAGGAACCTACACAAAAAATTTGAACAAAAAATACCACCGGGAAGGCCCCCAAATGGAGGAGGCCGGACGGGGGGAGTGGTCCGGCCTGGCCGGACCTGAATAGTTGTGTATATATATGTACATATATATATATATATATATATGTATATGTACATATATATGTATATATGTACATATATATATGTATATATACATATATATATATGTACACATATATATGTATATGTACATATATATATGTACATATATATATGTATATATACATATATATATGTACATATACATATAGGGGTGAGATCACATACTAACCATTCCTCCCATGCTAACCTACAAACTATCAAAAACGGTGCATCTTTACATTATTTGTACTGCATATTGAAGTTCAAAGTGTTGCATATTATTTGTACTACATATTAAAGTTCAAAGTTTTGCATATTGTTTTTATTGCATATTGAAATTCACAGTGTGCATCTTTACATTATTTGTACTGCATATTGAAGTTCAATGTGTTGCATATTATTGAGTTAGTAAGTTAGTATTTTAAGCATGGTTAGTATGTGATCTCTTATCTATACATATATATGTACATATACATATATATATGTACATATATATATATACATATATATATATATATATATATATATATATATATATATATGTACATATATATATGTAGAGGAATGTTCATGTCAGGCCGGCCTGACGGGCTGCCCCGTCCGGCCGAGCCCGTTTGGGCACCTTCCCGGTGGAATTTTTTGATGCAATTTTTTGAGCATGTTCCTCATCAAGTCTAGTTTATCCATACCAAATTTCAGCTCAAAATTCGATCGGGAAGGTCGTCAAATGATTTTTGCAAGTTAACTGGTCTGGAATATGTATTTTCTGGACCAGTTAACTTGCAAAAATCATTTGACGACCTTCCCGATCGAATTTTGAGCTGAAATTTGGTATGGATAAACTAGACTTCATGAAGAACATGCTCAAAAAATTTCATCAAAAAATTCCACCGGGAAGTGCCCGAAATGCCCTCGGCCGGACGGAGCATCCCGTCAGGCCGGCTGGACAAGAACGGCACTCTATATATGTATATGTACATATATATATATATGTACATATATATATGTACACATATATATGTATATGTACATATAGAGTGCTCTTCATGTCAGGCCGGCCTGACGGGCTGCCCCGTCCGGCCGAGCCCGTTTGGGCACCTTCCCGGTGGAATTTTTTGATGAAATTTTTTGAGCATGTTCCTCGTCAAGTCTAGTTTGTCCATACCAAATTTCAGCTCAAAATTCGATCGGGAAGGTCGTGAAATGATTTTTGCAAGTTAACTGGTCCGGAAAATACATATTCCGGACCAGTTAACTTGCAAAAATCATTTGACGACCTTCCCGATTGAATTTTGAGCTGAAATTTGGTATGGACAAACTAGACTTGATGAGGAACATGCTCAAAAAATTTCATCAAAATATTCCACCGGGAAGGTGCCCAAACGGGCTCGGCCGGACGGGGCATCCCGTCAGGCCGGCCTGACATGAAGTTTTCTCTGTACATATATATATGTACATATATATATGTATATATACATATATATATGTACATATATATATGTATATGTACATATATATATGTATATATACATATATATATGTATATATGTATATATACATATATATATATATGTATATATGTATAGAATAGAGATCAAATACAAAGCCTTCTTAATTTACAAAGTACAAACTCATCTTGACCGTCCGATGAGTTGATCCAAAGGACATAAAGGCAAGGTGGCATTTTTGTAATAAAACCCAATTTTTTAGGGTGCAACTCGTTGCACCTTAATGTGCAACTGTTATTTTTATGACTTTATAATATGCAATACTTTGAACCTCAATATGCAATGCAAATAACGTAAAGGTGCATCGTACAAATATTTGCACAATAAGCACACTTTGTACTTGATCTTTCCCCTGTATGTATATATACTAATATATATATATATATATATATATATATATATATATATATATATATATGTGTGTGTGTGTGTGTGTGTGTGTGTGTATATATATATGTATATATACATATATGTATGTATATATACATATATATATGTATATATATATGTATATAAGGAAAGATGCAAGGATTAACGTTGGAATTTTTAGCCATCAACTAAACTTGCAATAACAATCCAATTATTCTTTATGTTGGGAATATTCACTTGTCACTTTTGAAAATTGTTCAAAATTTCACAAAAAGTAAATACAAAATTAAATATGAGGGAATATTTCAATTCTTAATTAACCTTTTATTTTTTAAACTTAAAATATTGATGTTATGGAAATTTCATTATATATTGATAACATGTGCATAGTTTATAACTTCTAACACATTAAATTTGTAAGAACTTAACACATGTAAGAAGTGCCTGCATATTAAAGTTACATAATGTGCATAATAAGATTAATGGATGTGCATATTATGGTTATCGATGTCTGAGTTCAACCCCCCACAACCATGTAACGATTCTCCTGAAGCCTCGACATCGTATCAAGCAGATGCGGATGAAAATCCGATATTTTATCAATCTTATGTGGATGAAGGTTTAGCTGAGAGATTTCAAGGTGTTTTAAAAGCTGTCGATAAGCCTCTGTATGTTGATTGTGAGGCATACTCTCAGCTATCCGCCGTTACAGAGTTTATTAACATAAAAGCTGAATACAATCTCCCTGAAACTTGCATGTCCAGAGTTTTGCAGTCAGTAGGAGGAATGCTACTGTGTGATCATAGTCTCCCGGATTCATAATATATTACGAGATGAAGCAATTAATATCTAAATTGGGGCTTCCTTGTATCATAACCGATGGTATAGATAATATATTTTATGAAGTACCATGTTGTGTAACTTATTTCGAGGTGTAAAATATTTTCAGCCAAAACTTTATAAATATCAGCAGAAACAGCCGATTCAGCCAATTCTAGTGTTACCAAATGGGCTCTAAGATTATCTCATGTTTACTATGTGGTTCACTACAAGAAAAGTGCACATAGACCGCACATAGACCAATTTTTTTTTTCGATGGCCACATAACTGTCGTTAAAAACACTATTAACCACACATTCTTTTATTTAACACATACAAAACTGTGGTAAAAGGTCAGAGACGACAGTTTTTAACAGTGGCCAATGTTTTTACCACGGCTGTTGTGGCGACGCACGTAAAACTGACGCAAAACTGTCGTAAATGTTCCTCCTTATGTTTTTACGACAGTTTTGCGACAGTTTTACGTGCGTCGGCACAACAGCTGTGGTAAAAACATTTACCACGGTTAAAAACTGTCATCTCTAATCATTTAGCACATTTTTGTGTGTGGTAAATAAAAAATGTGTGGTTAATGGTGTTTTTAACGACAGTTATGCTGCCATCGCAAAAACAATTGTGGTCCATGTGCAGTCTATGTGCACCTTTTTTGTAGTGGTTGTAAATTATGCTTACTTTATTTTTACTTTATCAATTCAATATGAACTACATACATTCACTTTTCTTAATAATCGCAACACATTTTCGTGTCCCGATGTTAATGGGACGGAGGTACAAAGTACGTAGTACTCCCTCCGTCCCGAATTATAAGATACTTTTCGGTTTACGATGTTTGACCGATGATAAAGCAAACGGATCCCTGTCCACACTCAAATTATTTTTAGAAAAAAAATTACATATTCTGAAACGTTATTAAACCCGCTACAAAACCAATTCATTTGGGATAAAAAATTAATGAGTGGAGTCCATGTCCATGTGAAATTAAAATTAATGCTGCATAAGTACTATGTATCTTATAATAATAGAAGTTTCCAAGTGGTATGAAATACTTTTTTACTGTGAAATGTAGCTTGGAGTTTGAGAAAAATAATCTTAATCTTGATTTTTTTTTAATCTCAAGGTTGACTCTTGGAAGATTTGATTGTAGTGTTGACCTTTGGTGTTGGAGTTTTGGACTTTGAACTTTGAAGTGGCTCAAAAACTAGTTCTTAAAGAAGGTAGATGGAAAAGATGATCTTCTCAAGTATAGGAGAAAAAGGAATCTTTTAAACTTTCCCACACCTAAACTCCTTGGGAACTTTTGAGCCTATAAATATGAACCACTCTTCACTTAGTATTAAAAGGTGAATGAGAAGAGGGGAGCTCTCGCGCACACAAGAATTCCGGCTTCTAGTTCAGAATCGAAAATTCGCACCCCCCCTGCGCGGGCGACCTGCGGGCACGATAGTCGTAAAATTCAGCCAGTTTCAAAAGACAATTTTGCCCCTCTTTTTTTTTTAAGCTTAACCCTGTTTTTTTTAAACATTCATCTGCCCGAGGAGCTGACAGGCCGGATAAAAAACAGTAGTCACGGTCAAATCCGTGACTACGGCCGTGACTAATTCAAAAATTTGAATTAGTCACGGCCTTAGTCACGGATTTGACCGTGACAACTCCGGTCAATTACGGCGCCGACACTTCGTCTACCGCGTGTCTGACTGCGTTAACTACGACGGTGTAGTCACGGATATATCCGTGACTAAATCCGTGACTACGCCCTTATATATAAGTAACACTTAGCGAATTTTTCATTCCACTCTTCAAAACCCTAAAACTCTCCCTCTCCCTTTACTTCTTCTCTCTGTCCGCCAATCCCTTCGACCTCCACCGTCCATCGCCACCGTCCGTCGCCACTCTCCACTGTCCGTCGCCACCGTTCGCCGCCGCTCTCCGGTACCTACCTCCATCCATCTTCGCCATCCCTCTTACCTTTTTCATCAAGGTTATGTGTTCTAAATTTTAATTATCTCATTCTTATTTTTAGTATTTCATTTTTATTCCATGAATGCATGTTATTATAAGTATGTTCGCATTAATTTTGTTGAAATACACTCAAATGCATGATTATATACATGATTTTCAGTTTTGGGTATTAATACATGTTTAATATGGTTTAGTTTATATGCTCAAGTTGATTTATGTATGATTCTTTAGTTTTGTATACATGTTTTGTGTAGTAATGCATGTTTAATATTAAATTTCGAAATATGATTTAGTTTATAAATCTCTTTAGTTTGTATACATTTTTAATATGATTTAGTTTATTATATGTTTAATATGATTTAGTTAATTATATGTTTAATATGCATGACTATATTTTTTGTGTATATGTTTAATATGCATGCCTAAATATGATTTTGTCCTCATGAAGCATGTTTAATATGATTTAGTTTATTATATGTTTATAATGAAGCATCATCAATACAATTCTTTGGACATTATAAGGATTATTATTATTTTATCATCTATCAAAATTATTATTCCTGAATTATTTAAAAAAATAGCCCCTCATGTTATACTTCCAAAAAAGTTTAACATGTTAATTATAAACCGTTTAAACAAAATATTATTAAAAACTATATAAACTGTTTAGTAAAAACTGTTTTTATTAAACTGTTTAATACAAAACTATTTATTAGACACTGTTTAATTAAAAAACAGTTTAATAAAATTGCTTTTATTAAAACAGTTTAATAAACACTGTTTCACAAAATATTATTAAAAACTTCTGAAATAAAATAGAAAATATCAAATATAACAAAACAGTTTAATAAAAACTTTTTTTGAAAATGTTATGCTATTTTTTCGAAATTATAACAATTAAAATGTTTAAAATATGATTTATACTGATTTTTTAAAATGGAATACGAATAAATACAAAAAAAAAAACTGTTTTTAAAGAAATTATAAAATTTGAATTTATATAAAGCATAAAAACTGTTTATATAAAGCATAAAAAAAATTATAACAGTTTATAAAAACTGTTTTTCATACAAAAAAAGGATAAAGTTTAAAATAGTTTTTAAGTTGAAAACGGTTTTTAAGTTTAAAACAATTTTTAGGAAGTTAATATATTTTAACTTCCTAAAATATATTAAACTTCCTAAAATTTTTAAAAACGATTTTTAACTTCCTTACAAAAACTGAATTTTTTAAAGTCAGTATTAAATTATAAAAATGAATTTTAATGTCCTTATTAAAATGAATTAAAGTTAAAAAATGAATTAAAATGAATTTTATAACTTCCTTATAAAATGTAAAAAAAACTTCCTTATAAAAAGTAAAAAATGAATTTTAACTTCCTTATAACTTCCTTGGAGGCAGTCGCGGAGGAGGCAGTCATGGAGGAGGCAGTCGCGGAGGAGGCATTCGCGGAGGAGGTAGTCCAGAGGAGGCAGTCGCGGTGGCAACCGAGAAGAAGACGAGACCGAAGAAGATTATCTATATGATGATTCTAGATATTATCATAATGGTGGCAGTAGGAGCTTGTAAATGATATACATTTTAATTGAACATTGTTTATTTGTACTATAATTAGTCTGTTTATTATTACTGTTATTCCAGTCTGTTTGGGGGAAAAATGTGTATTCTAGTAGTCTGTTTATTACTTTTATTCTAATCTGTTAATTCTACAATTATTTTTTTTAAATAAACTTTTCTAAAGAAAATTTGAAAAATATTTTTTAATTTTTCTTTTAAAACAAAAAAACTTTTTTTTTACAAATAAAAAAATTTAGTCACGGATCTGAGCCGTGACTAAATTGTAGACCGGATTTTTTTTTAAATTATTTTAAAAATTTAAAAATGTTTTTTTTTTTAAAATAAAAAATATAGTCACGGATAAAGTCCGTGACTAAATTTTAAATTTTGAAAATTTAAACCCCAATATTTGGCGGTTTATTCGAAATTTGAAAACTTAGTCACGGCATAGGTCCGTGACTAATATATTCGAATTTTAAAAAAAAATTAGTCACGGATAGAGGCCGTGACTAAGTCGCCGGTGAGGTTATTCCGGGCACAAATTAGTCACGGATCGGGTCCGTGACTAATCCGTGACTACGCTTAGTCACAGAAAAAAGGCTGTGACTAGAATTAGTCACGCCCGAACAGTCACGGATTTAGTCACGGATTTTTTCCGTGACTAGAAGAGTTAGTCACGGATTTTTTATACTAGGGTCCGTGACTAAATCCGTGACTAAGTCCGTGTTTTTTTGTAGTGTATATATATATATATATATATATATATATATATATATATATATTTGATCATCCATTCCAACAATATTATTAAGTAATCAAATCATTCGCCTGATGGCTTACAACAACCTGAGGAGCAACCTCATAAACACATTCGTGATCTGAGACCTGAACATGTGCCCTAGCCAAGGCGTGAGCAACACAATTCGCAGATTGTTTACAATAAGAGATAACAAAATTCCTCTTAGATTCCAAAATTAACCTAATATTATCAATAATCAAATGTAAATAAGCCGAGTCCTCTCCCTGGTTGTAAATGTAAACCAAGCATTCCAGCCCTGCTGGTTGTGAGGTTACCGTGCCTAGTGGGAGGTCTCGAGTTCGAATCCCGCTAGGCACACAAGGGTTGGAAACTCAATGGAGTGAGTTTCAGCCCTGATTACTCCAGGCTCCCCCCAGCCCCCTCCCCCAGACCCCCCTGAAGTAAAAAAAAAAACTGAGTCCTCTCCCTTTTGAACTCCCTGTACCACAGTCAAAGCATCAGTCTCAAACTCAACTTCGTTCCATCCTTCCTCAACAACTTCCATGACCGCATCCCACAAACCAATTGCCTCAGTTTCCGCTATTGACCATGATCCTTTTACCGAAACTGCTTTTGCTTTCATGAACTCTTCTTCCTCGTTCCGTGCAATCCATCCCCAGGCTCTAATCTTCCCTACCTCATCAATAGCCCCATCAACATTAACTTTCACAACTCCCGCCCCTGGCCTGCACCATTTTCCTTGTTTAGCTCTATCTGCCAGCCCCCGTTCCTGACCCTGCTGCAACAAAACTCCCTGCCACTGCATCTGTTGCTGCAACGCTCCCAGATCACCGACCCCGCCAACACCTGCACTCCGAGAAGCTGCTGCACCTG